TCTCTCTCTCTCTCTCTCTCTCTCTCTCTCTCTCTCTCTCTCTCTCTTTCTCTCTCTCTCTCTCTTTCTCTCTCTCTTTTTCTTCATTCTCGCGTCAATAGCGCGCAATGAACCACGTCAAATGAGAGTGAAAACGCGGTCACGCTCGACCGGCTCAGCGATGGTGTGAATCATCGACAACGCCGACTTCTCAGGTCTCAAGAAGCCCACGCAGTTCGACGCGTCCCCGTTTTCCTTCTCGCTCTATCTCGCGCGCGCGTACTCCCGTTCATTCTCTGATCTATTCCGTTTCGTTCCTCGTCTTTTTCATCTTTCTCTCTCCCCTGAAGAACAACCCTCGGATTCCGCGCGCGCACCACCTACGCAGTGAGCGTTGACAGTGTGGAAGGACGGTTAGTATCATGCCGCGATATCACGATCTTATTGTTAGAGACGAACGAATGCGACGTTCGACAGTGTTCTCGCTAGAACACATTCTGGAGCGATGCTCGAGGCACGCTCTTGAGCGAGTCTGAATGGGAAGCCCTCGCTCCGGACGCTACGATCGTTTGGAAGCTCCACTGTCACTCCCTTGGGAGCGAGATACGCTCGGGCGGACGCGCAAACCCAACGACTCCGGTTAACGAAATACTCGTCTTCTTTTACACGAGGATGATGAAACCGGTATGATTTCGGCGAGCGGAAAGTGACCTCTATGTTTATTCGCGACGATCGTTTTGGGATGCTTACTGCTTTTCCCTCCTTATTTACACGCGTCGAAAATTTCATTCAAGGAGAAAGTACCGGTTCGAATCCCTTCTTATACCCAGCGAGAATAATATAAGTAATCCTGCTTGCAGGACACAGAAAGGAATTCGAGTTTTGTTACATCGACATGCACAAATCTGAATGAAATAATTATATTTATTTATTTATGTTTATACGGATTGATGTTTCGGAGAAAGGATTTCCTTAATTGTTCAGCTGGGAAAATTGCATTGCGATTTTCGTTAACCGGAAAAAGGATATGATCGGCGTGATTTAAGGGCAGCTCGGATCTCTCGTCGAACGCTCCTTCCGCATCCTTCACCGATCGCGAAGTTACGCGGAAGTGAAGCGAGCTAGCTTTTCACGGGATTTGCTTTACGCGCAATTATACTTTTACTACGATGCATACCCCGATATCGAAATCATACGCGAGTCGAAACGCAGACTGCCGCCAGTGAGTCAACGCCAAGTGATCATGCGTAAACAATTCGTAATGTTGTATATCAGATGTCTACAAGTGAAACTGACATTCCTCAATCTCCTCCGACATCGAGTTAGAAAGAGCGATCGTATTCTGCATAAAATATGTATATAACAATTCAGTTTGAATTGTATATAACAATTCAGTTTGAATTGTATATAACAATTGCAATACTTGAAAAAAAATCGTGTCTCCAACTGCAATAAATGTCATTTTTGAATGTATGTATTATCCCGTTGCCGAACTTTTTATTGGCTTTTTGTTAATCTTTTACTAGCTTTTCATTACTAAAGAAGAAATAGTAGATAAAATATGAAATGATGAATTAGATAGGGCTAAAAGATAGTTGTTATCGAAATAAATATGGAAAGAAAAAAGGGCTAGAATTATAGGAAAAGTAGATAGGGTTAAGTAGTATGGTTACATGGAAGGTATGAGTGAATTAAGTTACTTTGTAAACCACTTCTTGCTGCTAAACCATAAGCTAAAATTAATAAAGATTGATTGATATTAGCTTTTATTGACATTCTTTTCAATTATCCAGAGGCGGCAGAATAGAAAATCCTCACGTATAGTGACGGGGGAGGTAAGCAGGCGAGTTTTAATTTTTTGCCGTAACACGGTAAAAATAACAATTTTATTTATGCAAACTTTTCAAATATATAATATATATTTAAATGCATTTTTATATATTATTATATATTATATATTTATATATATTTTTTTAAATATATTTAACGTTTCAAATTAATAAACTTTAGTTAAAGACGAGGTGAAATACTTAAAGATTTAATATTTGGAATTAGTACAAAAGTGCAAACGTTGCAGTACGTTCTGAATTCTTCGAAATTCACCAACCAACTGATCTAAATCCAGTTTTTTTGTCATAACATGATGAAGATGTAGAATTGCAATGTTATTAAGATGATCTTGCAACATTGTAGAACGTAGATAATTCTTCAGTCGCCTTAAACTGGAAAAACTTCGTTCATTAGTGCAAGTGGAACCTGGTACAGTCAGGAAAAGCTGAAATATTCTGGAACGAGCACACCAGGCATTTTTCTCGAAGAATGTTACTACATCTTTCACATGTCTCAGTTAAACATTTTTCGCTGTTAAATTTCTTACTAAAAAAAATGTCAAGCTAAAATTCACACTAAAAAATGTCACGTATGGTATGTACCATACTGACCATACTGGTGCTGCTACCTCTGCAATTATCTGCGTTTTACATATAAATCGTGATACATGGAATTTATTTGACATTTAATTCATTATTAATAAATGTAATAGGTGTAATCTTTATAATTATGAAGATTTTTTAATTTTAACATCGAATTTTCTGAAATATAGATTAATATAGATTATCGTCCAAAGTGACTATTTAAATGCAGGACAACGCTGCTGATTTTTATCCGAATATTGGAAGAAAGATCGCAGAGTGCGAATATTGATTTTACAGTCCTCACATTTAAATTTGCTTCCCTGGTTTGCCGATCGATCCCGAGAAATGCTACCGGTCCATACGTTCGTGAGATACGAAAGATACTGAAGCGAGAACACTGTCTTTTGTCGACGTCGTCGTTCGGTTATCCTCGTGACGCGTAAGACGAGTCGGGTGACTCTTATCTCGTAGAGCACCACTCTCGCGACGATAAACAAAATCCACGCCATCGCGTATCGGCTTTCGACATGTTTCCACCAGCGCCCCGATCGAGAGGCTTCTTCTTTTATCTCTCCTCGCGACTATTTTGCCAACGTCAACTGTCGATCGCCATCGCGCGTATTGAAACCCTTGATGCACAAAAATATCACCGGGAATGTTGGAAATTGTCATAACGGCTAGTATTTTTATTTAAAAAACTTGATAAAATATTACATTTGCTGTTTTTACTAGATTTATTACTTGTATTGTCTGTATTAATCTAATTTCAGTTTAAAAGTAAACGAAGCGTGTCCGTTTGATTACAACGAAAATTGTTTCTTTCGTTATCGGACAGACGAGGATAAAAACGTTATGTGTTAAGCTTGCTTAATGAGTGAGATGGTACTGTCGAACGAGTTCCAAATAAAGTTTTGCGGGGTCAATCAGCCTTATGTCGGTGAAGTTGGCATATCAATTTCCAGCAAATCAAAAATAAAAGGGAATTTTTGTCGCATGCAGTCAAGTTCTATAGTTCCTGATATTTTTTAGTAATAATTCTGGTGATTTTATCCAAAAGCAGTCGATTGAAAAAATGATCTGCTAACTTTTCGTAGCAGATCATTTTCTAGCAAATCAAAAATAAAATGGAATTTTCGCGCACAGTCGAGTTCTATAGTTCCTGATACTTTTTAGTGATAGTTCTGGTAATTTTGCCAAAAAAAGTTCATTGAAAAAATGATCTGCTAGTTTTTCGTAGCAAATGTCTACTATACAATTGTGATATGCTGGTGCTCTTTTCGAGATCTACGTTATAGTTCTAGTACTTCTCCATGTATTTCAGAATTCTTCTGGAATACTTACATGAAGGAGTACTAGATCTATAATATAGAATTCAAAAAAAGAGTCCCGAACTTAAGTAATGTACTATCACGATTATATGGGTGAAGTATTGATAAAAATTGTTAATAATTATTCGAAAATTGCTAAAACTCTTCTGAAATACATGGAAGAGCACTTGAACTACAACGTAGGCCTCGAAAAGGGCCCAGAACTCACATTGATGCATCAGCATGTTACAATCGTATAGTAGAGACGTTGATAAAAATTGTTAATAATTATTCAAAAATTGCTAGAAACTAGAACTTTTCTGAAATACATGGAGGAATACTAGATCTATAACGCAGGACTCGAAAATAGCCCCCAACTTACAGTAATGTATTAGCATATCACGATTATATGGATGAAGTATTGATAAAAATTGTTAACAATTATTCGAAAATTGCTAGAAGCTGAAACTCTTCTGAACTACATGGAGGCACTAGAATTGTAACGTAAGCCTCGAAAAGAACTCACGTCAATGCACCAGTATATTGCAATCGTATAATAGACGTTTGCTACAGAAAACTAACAGATCATTTTTTCAATGGACTTTTTTGGCATAATTACCAGAACTATTACTAAAAAGTATCAGGAACTATAGAACTTGACTGTATGCGAGAAGAACTCCCTTTTATTTTTGATCTGCTAGAAAATGATCTGCTACGGAAAGTATTAGCAGATTATTTTTTCGACTGTTTTTTGTATAAAATTACCAGAACTATTACTGAAAAGCATCAGGAACTATAAAACTCAACTGCATGCAACAAGAACTCCCTTTTATTTTTGATCTGCTGGAAAATTATATTCCAACTTCACGGACACGTCAGTCTTTCGATCGGTCGCTTCGAGATACATACACAGTCGATGTACAGTTACGCGCACTGCGTGCGTTTTGCATATCGTTTTACCATATCCACGATTTTTTTCACAGCTCTAGACTCTATTTCATAAAACTGCATAGGTACTGGTAATAAGAGACGGACGATATTGCAGGTGATAATACTAGGCAATTACGTCTAGAAATTGATGTTGCTTTACCAAATTCCAAGAGTCGCAGTTTTATAAAACAAAAATCCAGTAGGTGTCATATTCTTTAATTTTAACACTTAAATCGAAGTCGATTCCTGAGATTCATTGTCAGTGACAATAAATCTTGCTCTTTCTTATTTATACTATCCTTCGTATGTGTTTTAATAGACTATAAATTAATAAAATCAATTTTTTATCATATATTTTAAAGTGCAACCAGAATATCTCAAATCCCAATCAGTCTCAAAGACACGTTTTTGTTTAACACGTCTCGTTTCGCTCCGAGTCATTACCGTGGACAATCATAATGATCTTTATATATATATAAAGTGTGTGTATATATATATATACACACACATATATATATATATATGCATATGTATATGTATATATACATATGCGACACGAATACATGATCCTAGCGTGTCGAATGACATGAGAAACATGAGCGAACTCGTTAAGCGTCTGTCAGTTTTCGGTTTAAGGGTTAAATCCCCTGTCGAATTCCCGCGGTGATCTGCGGGAGGAGCGAGCGAGAGAAAGAGAGGCTGTTTCGTGTAGTGAGAACATGTCGACGACGGAGAACGGTACCACTGGCGGCGCGCAGAGCAACGGCATCAAGACTCTATCGTCGTCATCGTCCTCGTCATCCACGGTGTCGTCCACGACATCGTCGGGCATCTCTCCATCATCTGGCGGACGTGTCGGCCTATCCAACAACAGCAACTCGTCCTTCCTCTACAGCAGTAGCACGCTGCTGAACCGGGAGAAGGCGCGGCAAGTGCCGCCGCCGACTCTGCCCAGGTCGAGCTTTAACGCCGGCTCGAACGGCGGCAGCTACAAATTCAGCCTGGAGAAACTCGCCCTGAGGCAGAAGATACTGGATGGGGAAAAGGCGAACGGCGAGTCTAGCTCGGTAAGCGAGACAACGTGACGATCATTGCGACATAAAATCCCGCAAGTCGATACTACTTCGCCGCGCCATAGGTCTTTGACAATCATTACACATTTCTCTTTATGAAGCTACTCTTCTGTGTCTTATTTGTTCTTTTTTTTTTTGTTCCCCGTTACGCTGGGCGAATATTGTATGAAGTAACTCTGCGTTAACGCCATTCAAAGGATGGTGGGTAAAATAGGCTGATTTCTGCCTAAAAAGTATAACGTTAGTTATACATGTAATCTTATGTTTTTTGGGTCGTTGAATACAATGGTAGCATTTTTATCTATCTAAGAGTCAAAATAAGTCAAAAGTTTTAATAGTACAATAATTTACTTACAATTAGTGACGATTTTGTTCCAATTATTTAATTACTTGTATTATAGTTTAGTTTTATAACTTTTTTTTTACTGAAGACTAAGAAAATACTTCAAAATAAAACACTTCAGAAATGCTAAAATACTTAAAAAGATAGTTTTTATCCTATTTTTATATATCTTGTTATCTCAGCCCAATTTTTTCGCGATTTCCACCATTTATAATTTAAGAAACTGATCTTTATTGTACATAAAATTAAAAATTAGCTTCCGAATTTGGTTCTAGAAAGTATCGATTAATTTTTACATATTCTGATCTGGAATTTGCACACGTGTATATTTATACAGGGTGTTCGGAAATTTAACCGACAAACCTTCAGAGATTGTCAGAGGCACTATAAGGATCATTCTTTGCAAATGAACCTGGGGTCGGAAACGTGTCGTTACATCGCTACTGTTTATGAGCGATGTCATGCAGGAGGGTGTCTTAGAGCAAGTGCTCGAAGTGTCGTCCCCCATGATCTTTGCACAGACGATAGCTCCGAACTATGGACCGGCGGACTCTGCACTCTCAGAAAAGAATTCTAGATACAATACTATTAGGATCGAAATAGGGCCAATCATATTTAGTATTGAAAGAAGAATATTTTAATCTTAAATAAAGGAATTCTTAAATTAGACTTCTAGAAAAAAGAATATTTTAATCTTAAATAGAGATATTCTTAAATCTAGAATAAAATAATCTTGATGCTATCCCTCTAATTTTCTCAGAATTATTCTAGATTCAAGAATTCCTCTATTTAAGATTAAAATATTCTTCTTTTAATACTAAATATGATTGGCCTTATTTCGATCCTAATAGTATTGTATCTAGAATTCTTTTCTGAGAGTGTGGCGAACACGCTAGGATCGTCTTTGATTTCACCTTGCTCAGAGCATTTGCCGCTGACATTTCCGACGTCGTAGAGATGTAATAACGCGTCCTCAGGTTTATTTGCAAAAAAATGATTCTTATGGTGCCTCCGACAATCTCTGAAAATTTGAATTTCCGAACACTCTGTATTCTAGCGCTCTGTGTGGATTGACATTTATAATAGTTTAATTACTATAGTAGTTTACTATAAGAAACGTATTCTCATAGAACATAACACCAAAGAATACTACGAGTTAAAGCTAATTTAAATATAAATAGTGTCCGTACCTATCTAAATCATTTGCGAGGGAAAGACGCAAGTTTTTATCGCCCAAGCTTTAATCCTTGATCCATATAAAATTGTGTGTTAAGTTCATTGAACTTATGTTGTGACTTTTATGCACTGCATCTCGCTTCAATTGATGATGGCAGATTCTTCAAAGTTTAATTTGTAAAAAGACGGAATAGATTTTTACTGTTTAAAACTTATAGATGCAAATCAAATCTGTTAAAATAGTGGGAATATCTTTCAGAAGTTTAGATAAATATTCATAGTGAGTCACGATATAGTTTTATTCTAGAAAACAAAGCTCGTGAAATAGTTACTTAACGAGCATTATCCTAATTTATGACCTTTAGTACCAACTTTTCGTTTTAAAAGTTTTCAAGAGGACTGATTTCCGCCAGAAAATTTCCATTTTCAAGGAAATATATATTGACGAATTTTAAACTATTTTATCGGAATTTTGCTGTCAAATTCTTATCGAATATTTCGAATGTTATATTATGACTGCGACATTCTTGAATAAAGTAGCAAATTAGAATTTATTAGTTTTATAATAAACCAAAGTTAAAACCGAAATCTTACGAATTATAATTTCCTACAATATGGTAATAATTGAAGACTCACTTTTTTCAAATACTTATCGCGCACGTGAGATAATCTCGATTTGAGAAATTACTCACTGTCGAGCACCACATGACCAAAGGTCTCTCTTGCTTTTCGGGCCGAGGGATAGTTCAGGTTCAGGGACGCTAAATCGAGGATTTCACCCTCAATGAAAATACACTGTAATTCATGAGTCATACAAAGCGCAGACCGTGTGCACTTCGTATTCAAATCGCGAGAAAGAGTATTTCTTTGCTCTTATTGCGTTTGTTGATGTCGCCATTCAAAGTGTTAAAATTTTAAAGATTATTTTTTGAATTTAACCTGGAGCTTAGACAAAAAAGATATACAACTGAAATTAGTTTGTATGTGTAGTTGAAATTGGTTGAAAATTTAAAAGATACAAGTCACATATATAGAAGTCAGATAAACAGTCAACGACAACTTGTTTCGATATTAAAATATATACAATCATGTAAACAAGTATATAATACTTTCAAGAGTTCATGAGAATTATCAGTCACGAAAATGGCTCGTTGTAAAAAGGAAGTAGGCAGGAAGAATAGAGAAAAGGGGAAATGTAATAAGGCGCGAGGGCACGCACGATAGTGAAATGATAAAAGTATCGTTCAATCGTCTCAGCCCTGAAGAGAAGGGTCGACGAGCTCTCGCCAAGTCTAATCGATCTGACACATTTTTACGAATGAAAGAACGGCGATATCCTCTGGCGATAAACTGTCAGTCTGTGCCAAAAGAGAGAGAAACTTGCGGAGAGAGCTCGAACAATTCTGCCATTCAAGCCTGCCGGAGATATCCAGAGAAGTTATAAATTTTTTTTCTTTCTATTGCGACACAATTCGACTTTGTTCTCCGCGATGAAACGATGTTTTCTCGTTCGACATCAAATACATTTCACGTCAATATATTTCGTGCTGCGATTTTTCGTCTTGCACACGTACGAAACATTAATTTAATTACTATATAATTTATGATATAAATAACTTATTATTCGAGATTAAAGGAACTGAGTTTTATTAGCGAGAAACTCTCTTTTCTACTTGTTCTTAAATAGACTTTTTTTACATTAATATAATTAATATATAACATTAAGTTTTCACAATTTTATTTAGCCAAATTGTAAAGCTTTTTAATTTTAAATATTAGAGGTAGAACGAAAACTAGGACATACATTTCAAAATGACATTTGTTATTTACAAGCGCTTCTTGTACACGTAATTTTTGTTCTCCGGACGTGGTAGCTAATTACGAAGCAACGCAATTAAAAGTTGATACGACGCAATTAAGAGATAATTCAATGACATTTATAAAACGATCCAGCAATTCTCGTTACTACCGAAATAACGCAAAATAATGTCGCGGATAAAAAATAGTGAAATTAGACGGAATTACATCGACAGCACGTGGGCGGCAAAGTCGATAATAAATTCGCGTCATGCGCCATCCTTTTTCGAAAGGGCGCGCTAATTAAGGAAAAGTTCGTCCCCTCGATGTCCAGGTCGAGGACACGTGCACGGCGTACGACGCATTAACGACTGTCTTAAAGGCCAACAAACGCGCGAACTAGTGCGTTATTGCGAGCTGCGTTGCGCAATTGGTATTGTATGTCATTCACCGAAGCGGCATTGTCGCAGCGCATTGTCCGGCGATTCGCAAACTACTTTCAGCCTCAAGCGCATTCCGCGCGGCTCACCCAACTCTGAATCTTATAAAAGCGAACTCGTCTGAAATTCGGATGCTCGTCTTCTTGATAATTAGCCGATTTGATGTATTTATATCGTGCCGGGTTTTTTATTCCAGTCACCCTCGAGCTGCCTTTTACTCCTTTCCGTATTTCTTTTATTCCTAGTTTTTATATGTCATTTTTCTTATCTATTATTTCGTCACTTTGATTGTCTTAAAATAGCAAGATGCTTTCTACGTTCTTTTCTTGATGCAATATTGCTTACCATAATTAAGGTATCCTTTTGACATGCATGTAATCGAATCGTCGCGATTCGATAAGGACTGTCGTCGGCTGCTTTTATTGTGGGATACGCGCTCCCTCGTCCGTCAACGGTGTCGCATAATGAATCGAATCACGACTATTGGTCGCGGTAACCCAGATTTACGGCATTGAGCATTTATTCTCGTACGGAACTGGGCGTTGAATTTTTCATGAGCGCCATCGCGCTGCATCTCCGATAGATAAAGAGAGGAATAGACGGAGACGATAATTGATGCAAATGAACTCTTAGGTGTAATGGGGACTAAGTTGCCGTCAATGAGGACGTAAATCCATCTCTTCCGCTTCCGCAACGTCGCGCGTTCTCTCGTGTCTCGCGAACCGGAAGATTCAAATGAAATGTTTTTGCGAACGGACTCGCGCGGATCTGATCACGTTGCAATTTGTACGCTATCGCTTAGGTATCCGAATATGTCTGATCGCTAATCATAAATTATAATACTTTCAAGATTGTCTATAAAACCATGAACTTTAACAAACATTATTGACGCAAAATACGACAGTCCGAATAAGTTCTTTTTTTAATTCTAGAGATCCCCTTTCACGAAAAACAATCTGTTTTTCGCGAAAAAGATACTGTTTGCTCTGGATAGTCGACTATTAAGTTTGTTAAGAACTTTTGGGACAAATTTGTCTAATTTTGAAGAATACGCGACTCTCCAAATGCCACACGATCGCAAAACCAAAACGGCTTTCTTTATAAAGGTTGCAAGATTGATTTACAACCCTAGGAGTCCGATCGATACCGCGAAAGTCGACGCAATAATTCTGCGGTTAATAAAAGGGCGTTTGAAAAAGAGACTCCTCGTGATCGAATCATCAGCTTGCTTCATTAAT